AAATTTATCAGCCAAAGTCATCCTCATCAAACCTCCTCAACCAACTTCTAACACATGTCCAGCAGCCGAGAGAGAAATTGCATATCAGATCTCGGGTGTCAATTGGTGAAGGTATCACGTACAGCCAAGCCTCCTACACAGGGATTTCTTGTCACCAATGGTAGAAGTGGTTAACCTTTTAAACCTTGATGTTCTTTCAGCAGTAGAATTTGGTGGACATATGGTAGACTTCAGAACTCCTTGCTGCGCCGGTCAAAAAGCAGTTCTTGTGCAGACGTCATAAAAATGTCGTAATATATTAATAAATTCTTTGAATCACGTCAACTCAGGAACTGCATGCATGTAACATATACCTCACCATTCTTCAAAACGATCACTTTCATTGGGCGACCATCTGGTGAATAACAGTGTTGTGTCTCGGTCAAATGATGTTTGAAAATGCCTTTCTTAGAATACCAGTGCTCAAATTTTGAGCGCAACTGCGACCACTTACGTGGCCAGAAATTTGACATTTTTTCGTCAACAGTAAGCTAATACCAGCATTCCAGAAAAACAATTGATGTTCTTTGCTTTTTACTCCATGAATTTAAACCATCGACCATTCTGAATTTCACGAAAAAGTTGCAACTTTGTTTAAACAAACTGTATCGAAAACGAAGAGTACTTGATTGAATAGTGCTTTACATAGTATTGCTAATTTTATTATTACACTTTCTCTACAAGAAACTGTTTTCTTTGTCTTATTCTATATATCTATTGTTATATGGCAATAAATGGTAATAATTCGTGGATTCATACAGTTTTCGTCGTAACGATGAAAACTGAATGCATTCACTTTAGAAACCTCCTCCCTCAAGCGGCCATTCTCACCTGCACTTTAGCTGGTCGCTTAAGAGAAAGTTGACTGTATTTATTTGATTATGTGATTGCATATTCATTTACGTACTGTTCCTTAACTTATTACTTAACCAATTACTGTTCGCTTATTATGTATTCTTAGGACTCGTTTAAATGACATGAATAAGATAACGAATATGTACTCTATTGTACTAATCCTGTGCTGCTTCAATTTGGAAGGATTTTGACGAATCCTGGGAAGTTGCCTTCACTTTGCCAGTTTTTTGCGCGAACTTTACGCTCTTCTTTATAGACCAAGACGAATGTTCGACAGAGTTTGGAAACTGTGCAGTAAACGCCAAGTGTATAAATACAGAGGGATCTTTCTACTGTGAATGTAACAATGGATATGTTGGAAATGGAAGCACTTGCGAAGGTATTGCTCATGATGTGTCAACCTCACTGATGACTGAAAGACGCTCCGGTTGTCTGGATAGCTAGCCAGCTGATTGGCGGACTGGCTGACCGACCAACTGGTTGACTGACTGACTTGCTCACTGACCAACTGGTCGACTGACTGGAGACTGACGGCTGACCCATTCGCTGACTCATGCACTGACTGGCTGATTTGCTGCTGGCTGCCTGGCAAGCTGGTTGATTTTTTTCTACACGATTGAATTACTGACTAAAGACGAACTTTTTTAATTTGTAGATATTGACGAATGTAACTTACCTGGAACCAGTGTCTGCGACTCCAACGCTGGATGCAATAATACTGACGGTTCTTTTATCTGCTCATGTAACAGAGGCTTCACTGGTGATGGCTTAAACTGCACAGGTAACCTTCTCTCGACTTTAGTACTTAAACTCCCCCAAACCAGGACAATGCGAGTGGTGTGCATCGTTTTGCTCACATTAAGATTGTTTAATCCATTCACTAACATGGAAGACCAAAAGGAATTTCTTCTTTCAATGGTAATTAACAAATATTTAAAAATATATATAAACTTAATGATATTACTTGATTTAATACTAAATTCTCAGAGATAAAATCATTAAAAATATGTGACAATTTGTATGTGGTAGGTTCCTAGGTCTCCAGTGCCATAAGGGCACACCAGTTGCCAGTTAGCTTTAAGCCTTATCAGATAACTACCAGCTTTTATTACTCCAATCTCATTAGCCGTTAATCAGCTGGTAAAAAGCTGATTACAATATGCCCACCGAGTTGTGTGGGAGGAAGCAGATGCTTTTTATCTAAGAGAAGATTGTAGAAAAGCATGTATTTGTATTACTCAGATATCGACGAATGCAGTTCACCTGGCGCCAATCAATGCAACGTAAATGCGATATGCACCAATACCGAGGGCTCATATGTCTGCCGCTGCAAGAAAGGATTCAAAGGCGACGGAGTAACTTGCACGCGTAAGTTAACCAGAGTTTTTTAATGGGGCTTTGATAAATTGATCTCAGGGTGCTGACCGCCATAAATGAGTAAGCCATACTGTACTATTGTTCTTTTACAGTAATAGAACCTCCGTTCATCTGTATCCCCGTATGTGACGTCAACGCTGAGTGCAAGAACTTTACAGGAACTCCTAGCTGCATGTGCAAGGCGGGGTTTGATGGCGATGGTGTCAAATGTAAAGGTTAGTAATCATCTCTGCTCTCATGCGGAGCTAAAAAGTGTGTGGAGAAGAAGATGATGGTAAAAATGTTTCTAATTTACATAGGTAGCTCTTTCAAACAATCCTGATAGGTGTTATGTTTCCTTCTCAGATGTTGATGAGTGCGTTTCTCCAGACTTAAACCAATGTCACAAAAATGCGATGTGCACCAATACCGAGGGCTCATATGTCTGCCGCTGCAAGAAAGGATATAAAGGCGACGGACTGACTTGCACTCGTAAGTCTCGAGATAATGATAAAGTTTTCTTTCCCGTCTTTGAATTTGGACTCTACTTTGAAGCTAGGTGGTGCTTCCTGTGTGAAAACAGATGCCACTGTTACAAGATGTGGTTTCTTAGAGTGGCTCCCGTTCGAATACTTTCGATTCTCAGTTAATGAACGACCTCGCAGTCGAACCACGACGAGGTAACGAGCGTTATATTCCCCCACAAACAAATGAAAGGCCCGATAGTTATTATAGTTTTAAATTTGGACTATTGTTTGTAAAGCTATTGGTAAGAAGGAATAACTTCTGTCACTATACTCTATCTTCAGCGGTGGGACCATCATTCAAATGCGATCCTTTGTGCGATGTCAATGCTGTATGCAAGAACTCTACAGGAGAACCAGAGTGCATGTGTAAGGCGGGGTTTGATGGCAATGGGACCACATGCATTGGTTAGTATAAATGTTTTTGTGTGCCAATACAGTATTCAAATCTTATTATGCATGGCACTGGTGTACGATACCGTCCTAAATACGGTAACTATTTTTTCACGCCTATTTTCCCTTTTTATTGGTTAAAATTAACACTTCTGTCCAGAAATGCACGCGAAAACGAAAACAACAGATTTGACGAAATTTCGTCAAATCGAGTGAATGTTTATAGATTTGACGATCATGGCGAATCTTAGTCAAATGCGTCGAAGCGAAATCAGCTTGGCGGAATTAACGACTTTGACGAATTTTTAGTCAAATTCCTCAAAACGGAATTAGCTTGGCGAATTTGACGATTTTGACGATTTTTCGCCATTTTTGTTACTGCATGCATTTCTGGACATTTCTCAGAATTGATAATGATTCAATGCCGCTCCTTCTTTTCCACGATAGGGAATTTGGTTTTGGATCGAGTAATAATCCCCTGATTGGTATTTGTATTTATTCTCATCACTTGTCTGCATGATATTGTATTGATATTGTAAGGAGAAATTCTGTCATGGCCACCTCTGGGGGTGAAAGGGTTAAGGAATCTTGAAAATAAATAATTTCTTGACAAATGTGCGTCGTCTCCATCGTCAACTACAGATACAGACGAATGTGCAAGTACTGAAAGAAACAGCTGTGACCTGAATGCACTTTGTACCAACACAGACGGCTCCTACGTTTGTCGCTGTCTAAAAGGATTTTCAGGAGATGGGAAATTTTGTAGACGTAAGTTTCCTCGAAGTCGGTTGCCAAATTGTACAGAAAGATTTTAATACTTTCGCCTCTTGAGCTTATTTACTTTTACCACGGCTATATCGACCTACAGCCTGGCCATTTTAGTCATAATATGTAATTTAGAACTCCTCCTGTCTGTACACTATGGAAGAACTGAAAAAATTGCACAATCCTTGCCCCGCCTCAACCAGAAAGAGAGATTTTGGCGTTTGCACAACAAGTCAATTCGTTTGATGATGTGGGGAGTATATTAGCTTCAGGACCAATAACCGATGACAAGTTTTCAATTACTTTCCTTAGGGATAGAAGGGGTTGTTTGCAACCCTCCTTGTACCGGAAACAAAGTGTGTCAAAATTTCACTGGAGTTCCAGACTGCGTGTGTGCTGATGGATTTAGTGGTGAAGACATTTGCACAGGTATACATACTGCAGGCCATGCTAATGTACACTAATGCCCTGTACGGTAGCTTTTTAAGCTCTCCTTGTACCGAAGAATTTACGAATAACCTTATGGTCAGGAAGGAAAACTATCCAGCTGAACTTCGTAGACAACGTAACATATTTCGGCAAATGAGTGAACAGCCTCTATACCCGTTTTTTGTCTTCATCCAATTCTTCCTTTTCTAAAATTTTAAAACAAACCTATGTTTCGTTCACTATAGATATTGACGAATGTGCAGAAGAAGGCAACAACGAGTGTGACCCTAACGCCCTTTGCACCAACACGGAGGGATCTTATGTTTGTCGCTGTCTAAGAGGGTTTGAAGGAGATGGCCGAAGCTGTGTAGGTGTGTAGCCAAATTGTAGCCAATACCGGTAATAAAATGTCCTTCGAGAGGTCGATTTTCCCACTAACAATGAACTAACAATTTTAGCCGTCACACCGATATGCTCTCCACCCTGTGGTCCAAACTCGTTCTGTCAGGAAGGGTTGTGTGTGTGCGATTCTGGTTTTCAAGGTGACGGATACAACTGCAAAGGTTTGTGGAACAAAATGCTCTTTTTGTTATCAGTTAGTGTCCATATCTATCTAAATCTTTGTTTTCTTTTACATTCACAGATGTTAATGAATGTGCGAGTCCAGACACAAACGGATGTGATCGTAATGCTCTGTGCACCAACATTGAAGGATCTTATATCTGTCGCTGTCTCAAGGGATATCAAGGAAATGGCCGCTTTTGCGCAGGTAAGGACATTCACTAACCTTAAATTCAACACATAGGATTATCAAAGGTTCTTTTTATAATGATTCAGTCAGGGAATTGAAATTCTCTGTTCCTCTGATTATTAACCAAAAGATGCCGTTGAATGTTCAAGTCCTGAACACGATTGTCACTCCGACGCTATTTGTAACAACACTGAAGGCTCCTATGTCTGTCGCTGTTTAAAAGGGTTTACTGGCGACGGTAAAGACTGAACTGAACTGGTTGGTTATGATATAAATATTACTGTGTTATTAAATTTTAAAAAGAAAGCACCACATGAAGATCTTCTGACAGAGGCCAAAGGAGTTTTCTATCCGGCGACTTGAAAAAAAAAATTGGAACGATTGAACATGCCTTATTTTTATCTTGATTTATCATGTTTCTTTGATGTGCTTATCATTAGAATACACTGTTTGGAAAAGATTAAGAACTTATTAATTTGACGAAAGACTAAGCTAGTTAAATCAGTCTACCAATCGTTCATTTACCCACGTACCGTCTGGCGAGCTGGAAAGCTCGATCAAAATACATACGTTTCCAATGAAATATATAGTTACGCCACCCTTTCAAGATATAACTTGCAGATACTGACAAGTGTGCAAGCTCTGAATCTAATGAATGTGATTGCCCATCAGATTATGTACTGAAATTTTTTTTTGTTTTGTCCATTCACATAAAAGCATCAAGTTTTAATTTTTTGTATTTACCGTTACAGGATACGATGAATGCGAGAAATCTGAAACAAACATTTGCCATTTGAACGCCCGATGTATTGATACGGAGAGCTCTTACGTTTGCCGCTGTTTAAGAGGTTATACGGGAGATGGCACGAATTGTACAGGTACAATGCAAATCACTGGCTCAGTGTTATTTATGCTGATATGTAATGTATAGGGGAACTGGGGGAACTGATGCAAGTTAATGGAGCTTGTTGATGTAGAAAAGTAACTATTTGCAGTGGGATGCTTATTACGTTTACTGGTAAGTCTAGGAGGGGGTTACCTCAAGGCGTTTAAAACTGTTTGCCAAACATGAGACATTCTCTGATCAGTTTAAGCTACGATGTAGTTTTAGGTTATCGTAATATAACATAAAAATTAAAGTAATCTTCGCTGGTGATGTTGTAGATGTTGATGAATGTGCGAATGTTGAAACCAACGAGTGTGACTCCAACGCTCTGTGTACGAACACTGAAGGATCCTACGTCTGTCGCTGCTTCAAAGGATATGAAGGGGACGGCAGGAATTGCACAGGTACTGGTAACAAATTCAGTTGTTTTTAACGTGAAGTGAACTGGGTTTAATACTCTGTTAGTGGAACAATTTTTTTTAACAGAAATAAATTCGCGTTTTTTGTCCTTACCCGCTTTTTCGCAGGTAAGGACATTCACCAACCTTAAATTCAACCCATAGGATTATCAAAGGTTCTTTTTATAATGATTCAGTCAGGGAATTGAAATTCTCTGTTCCTCTGATTATTAACCAAAAGATGCCGATGAATGTTCAAGTCCTGAACACGATTGTCACTCCGACGCTATTTGTAACAACACTGAAGGCTCCTATGTCTGTCGCTGTTTAAAAGGGTTTACTGGCGACGGTAAAAACTGCACAGGTAAGGTTGTTAGCTATGCGAGTTTTATCTTGTTGGAATTTTGTAACACAAAACTCTCAACAAAAGCCAAGGTTTATCAAGCTGAACCAGTGTTCATATTGTCGTATGCTGTACAAAAAGAAACCGTTTCTTTAAATTTCGTAGATGTACTTAACTTTCAAATATTCTTATATACCTCAAATTAACACCAAGTCATAAACCCTCTTAGTTGCTTTGAAGGTGTTGCTTTTGGTGGTAAGAGAGGAAAGTCAGAGGGTTTTTTCGGAACCAACAATCTTTGACTCGGCCAAGTTACGCTCGGTAATGACTTTTTTTATTCTCTATTGCAGATGTTGATGAATGCTTACTTTCTGAAGCCGCGAGCACATGTCACTCAAGCGCGCTATGCACCAACACAAAGGGATCATATCTGTGCCGCTGTCTAAGAGGATACGTTGGCGATGGAAGAAACTGCATAGGTACAGTGGACGGTTTTAGTTAACGTCTGTTTCATACTTGTGATAGGAAAGAAAATCATTTCTTTGCTTGTATGGCTGCTTCAGTTCGTATTTTGTAATGAAACTCAGATATTGACGAGTGTGAAAGACCTGAAAACAACGACTGTGACACCAACGCGCTGTGTACTAACACCGAGGGCTCGTACGTGTGTCGCTGCTTTAGAGGTTTCAGTGGAGATGGTAAAACATGTGAAGGTAAGACGACATTGTTTTCGATTTGTCATTCTTTTTTTTTGTTGTTTATAATGAACCGAAAGACTATTTTAAGAACAAACCAAGTACCAAATAAGAAATAGTTCAAGTAACATCGTTAGCTAAGCACTAATGGTGCATAATTTTGATTAGCATTATTCATAAAAGAAATACTCTTTCATACAGAAATAGAAGAGGTCGTTTGCGACCCACCCTGTACTGGAAACAAAGTTTGTCAAAATTACATAGGATTTCCAGAATGTGTGTGTACAGATGGCTTCAGCGGGGAAGACTTTTGCACAGGTAAACTGGACCAACCACAGCTCACATGATCCGTAGATAATACCTAGCAAATTGAGAGAGCTTTGTGGCGGGATGCGCAAATGACAAAAAAATAGGGGTTTGAATCACACTATAAATTGTGCATTTTAAAAATGATTCCCGAATCGTCGTGGACCAACTCCTTCCAAGGTAGTTTTTGGCTTTGCTTCAATTAAACCGTTCAGACAAGATCACTTGTAATCCATTCGAGAAAGGAAGTTTGGCGCTTACGCCTAGTGTAGTCCTTCCCTTTTTGCACACTAATTTTCAAATAAGGACGGGATTTAAGTCCTTGGGAAAAACTCTCAAATAAGTATCCACGTGTAGTTAAAACTTAAGTAACATAGAGTTCTCGCGCGCTGTCGTCGCGCAGTGATAACTATGGTATATTACTTCGACTACCCAGAGGATTACCAAGATACCAACCCAAAATAAAGTCACGAACGAAAAGCCCCTTGTATCCATGATTTAATTCTGAATTGTTGTTGCTCTTTTAGATATCGATGAATGTGCCGATAAGGACCGAAACGATTGTGATCCAAACGCTCTTTGCACCAACACTGAAGGGTCTTACGTATGTCGCTGTTTAAAGGGATATGAAGGCGACGGCAGAAATTGCACAGGTATGTAACGTTCGTGATACAGAGGGATTCAATCTTTGATTGTTCTTTAAGCATCGTGTTTACCGTAGGTGTTTCAAATATTTTATCAGTGTTTCCTGGCTGTTCTCCTTCATGCGGCCCAAATGCTTTTTGTCAGGGAAGAGGTGAATTTGCGTTCTGTGATTGTAGAGCTGGTTACATTGGTGACGGATATAACTGCAGTGGTAAGTTTTTGATAATACTAGGAACATGGTCACGTTCTTTGTACCGCTCTATTTCCTAAGAATTGCAACTTTGTGTTCCTTTCGGAAGAACTGTTTACACAGAATATAGGGGTTGATTAATTTAAGAACAATTAAAAACATCTGGCGGGATCTCGACAACTGACCTCTTTCTGACCATCAGTTACGGACCAGTCTCATTGAAATGCCACCCTTTCAAGTATTCAGAGCGGTCCCTTCTTCATCTGGTTTAGGGGGCGACTTTATACCTTGTAAATTGCTTTATCGATAAATGACTCCGGCACATCTCCTGTAGCAAAATCGTGTTTTCAGAAACAACAATATCATAACCGTTCGTGCTTTTTTTTAATTTTCTTGTCATCTGAAAAAGTTTTTTTTTCACTATTAAATTGACTTTGATTCTCCCTTTAGACATTGACGAGTGTGCAAGTTTTGAATTAAATAGCTGTGACGTGAACGCCTTGTGCACAAATACTGAGGGTTCTCATATCTGTCGCTGTTTAAGGGGCTACATTGGAGATGGAAGAAACTGTAGAGGTATAAATCTTTGACCACAACACACTTAACCTAAAGTAGATTATATTGATTCCTTGCCCTTTGGTCCTATATATTCCTTATTTCATTTCCAGATGTAGACGAATGCGCTAACGAAGACGAAAATGATTGTGGTCCAAACTCTCTTTGTACAAACACTGAAGGTTCCTATATCTGTCGCTGTCTAAAAGGCTATATTGGAGATGGTAAAAATTGTTCAGGTCAGCAAAATATTAAGTTAGAGGATGCTTTCTTACTTGAGATTTTCATAGTTTTCCCGTTACCCAAAATAACGTCAGCTACCAATTTGCAGACATCGACGAATGTGTTGATGAAGGCAAAAACGATTGTCATCCAAACGCCCTTTGCACTAACACCGAAGGATCTTACGTTTGTCGCTGTTTGAGAGGATACGAGGGAGATGGAAGAAAATGCACAGGTATCTACAACTTTATACTCTAACTGTTTATTTTTTGAGTATCTCATCCATAACTATAACTTGATATTTATTTCCTAATCAGGGTAATTGGCCAATTACTCTGACGAAGGGCTAACGCTCGAAACCTTAGCCTTGTAACTCTTTACGGTGGCCAATTTACGTTAGACAACACTAAATTACTCTGTTATACTCTCCCATCGACGCAGCATCATAGTTTCTTTAGAAATTTACCCTCTTTATTTATTTCCTAATCAGCCGTTGTACCAACCTGTTCTCCATCTTGTGGGCCAAACGCTCAGTGTCTAAGAGGGGCGTGTGTCTGTAATTTTGGTTTCCAAGGGGACGGATACAACTGCTCTGGTAGGTGTCAGGAAAGAAATCTCGACTGCATTGGTCTTAGTATTAGTAAACTTAGAATTCGATACAACCAAGAAGATCAACTTTAGTTCTCATTAATTTTTGGTCATTTCAAAGTAATAGTGAAAGATGTATTTTCGTCATGTCACGAGCATGGGACAAAGAAAAAATGAACGTTGAAACGTTACAGAAAACGTTAGAAACATCAAAGAAGTTAGTGTGATGTGAACCCCTTCTTGTCTAAAACGCTATTGCTGCTTAGTAAAGTCACTGTGATATAAAATATGCAATCCTGTGTAAAACCCTTGTTTGGTCACCTTACTACTCACCTCGTCTTACACTACTTCGTTAGTCATTCTGCAACCCGAGGGAGAACCAGTTCGCTTTCTAGATAGTACACTGCCTTAACACTCTAAGCAGTCAGTAGACCTCAGCCGAGCTGAGACGATTTAGGATAATGGCTTACGATTCAACACTAAAACATTGTTGGTTAATGATATCAATGCATATTCGTCAAATTCAAATCTTCCTAAACCTAAATAAAGTTTTCTTTGTATTGTTGATCTTTAGATGAAGATGAGTGTGCTTCATTGGCAACCAACGCATGTGACTCAAACGCTCTTTGCACCAACACATACGGCTCGTATGTCTGCCGTTGTTTAAAGGGTTATGTAGGGGATGGAAGGAGATGTTCAGGTACCGAGACAAAAAAATTATTTATTTGGAAAGTGTGATCTGCCCTTGCCCCTGTGATCTCATTAAAAATAGGTACATCTCATGCGTTAACAATTGTGGGCATTAAATAATTTTTTCACAGACTTAGATGAATGCAGAAGTGCTACGATTAACGATTGCGATCCCAACGCTTTGTGTACCAACACGGAAGGATCCTATGTGTGTCGCTGCTTTAAAGGTTTCAGAGGAGATGGTAAAACGTGTACAGGTAGAGTAGTGACTTTAATCATTTATTGTAACGTGAACGATCTGATCAGCGATTCTTTAAGCCGCTGTACCTCCTCTTTATCGGCATTCGTCTACAAAGTTCTCCTCTCCTCTTCGCCGCGTGTTTGCAGGAAATAGCACAGTGAATTATGGAGAAGTTGTTTGGATCTTCTTTTTTTCATTTTAAAGTTAAATTGCGATTTCGACACAGTTGCCCTGAGTCTACCTATTTTTCATATTCTTTATGTATAATATTATCTCGTATTACTCAACTGCAGAAGATTTCTCTTGCGACCCGCCTTGTGGTGAAAACAGAGTTTGTCAGAACTTTACTGGAGTAGCTGAATGCGTGTGTGTAGGCGGTTTTGCTGGAGAAGATAACTGCACAGGTGAGCCCTTGACTTATTTCCTTAAAACTAAAGCTAGGCAGGAATCTTCGTCGCATTTGGGTCGAGTTAAATTCACAATCAATAGGAACAAATGCATTTCGAGTAACAGTGGCATGTTTGCTAGAAAGATGATAGTACCCTCGTTGAGTAGGTAGG